AACTTTATCCAAGGCAAATGTACTCTTACGTTCAAAATTGACGCTTTATTTATATCTAAGACCTCAGGTTTCCCTAATTAAATAGTAAACCCTGATTAATATGCAAAACTAGTGGCTCGAACATCGTTTCAAGAAACTTCATCATCCTCACCCTGCCAAATTCAATCACGATGTTCCATGTTGGTACTGTACATCGGTGTTTTTACGTCACAAAGCATATATAGATATTTCAATAGGCCCCACTACATCACTACTACCAGTGACACCGCCACTGGCAAAAACATGGCTTGTCTGTGGTGATTTGCAGCGAATTGAGATTCGCGTTTTGCAGAGATACGTTGGTGGATTTTGTCAAAGTACTTAACACCAGGTTAGACAGTTTCTCATTAAGCCATTCACAGACCATTCTTCAGATGGAATTCGTCTTTTGCGTAAGGAAAGATGTACATGAGCGGAGTGAGAAACGGTGCAGAATCGAATACTCTACCTGATTGAGTTTGCATTAAATAGCGCCGCTCATGCTTCTACAGGCCTCACACACTTTTTATAAGTTTGTCTCTGTCGTTCCCTAGCACCCCCGCGAATCGAGGTGAGGAGGGGTTGCCGACTTACTGACATCACCCGGGCAATACTTCGTAACACTTATCTTTCAAAAATAGTAAGCGTCATGCGCCAAGTGCATGATGCTATGGCTAAAAGTCGGGATGCACAGAAGCGATATGCGGATCACGGAGGCGAACAAACCACACATGAATTTGACAAGAGCGATATGATTTTATTACACGCAATCAACGTACCTACTTTCGCAGTCTCGCTCTTTAAAAACAGAGATTAACCTCGCCAAATCGGTCCCTTGACTTCAGCAGTGAAAAGGCATTATCTTTCACTAAGCCATGTCACATTTTCGTTCTTATGAGCTGCTCAACCTCGAGGGATATGAAACAAAGTATTAACAGGTACGCTACGTTTCGCTCTAAAGCAGTGATCCGATTTAGTTTTTGAAGGAGGTCCACTTCATTAGTTATGAGCTAGCCCCATCATATCACGAGTTTCACGACAAGGTTATAACACTTTGAGCTTCTTAGAGACAAGCACGTTGTCCGCAACCCGTGCAGGGACCGGTGGAACAAATGACGCAGGTGGAATTGGCAAGTCACTTTGACCATCATCATCAAAGAACACCTCACCTATATTATTTAACGAGCTATCATGCCTTCGGTCGCGATGGCCGCATCTTTTGTGGTGGATCGTCAAGCAGGATTTCACAACGCAATGGGCTCTTGTGTAGCTTGCTGGTTGGGGTACCGGTGCAGCGGGTAATCGTAGAGCCCTTTGCGATACGCAACGCAAGCTCACAATATTCTGTTGTTTATGGGCTTGAACCTAAGCTTATGACTAGTACAATGGTACATCAAAAGGAGGCGTGGAGATATTTTTAAAAGTTTTGCTCCCAATAGACACTAGACCGTTATCTAAGGGGTTCTTGTCATACAGATATACATTCACCTAAACTGTTGTGAAAATGTCCTTTGTAGAATCGTACATAATCAGACATTGGAACTGCTTACTTTCAAGCAGACATCCATTGCAAAAACTGTCATGACATTTCCAGCAGCCAAACTTCTTTTTTCTCGTCACGTCTCAATTTGAATCACAGCATGTGTTCGAGAATATTGTGAAAAAATATCTAGATGCACTGGCGGAGAATTTTTAATGGCAGGTAATTCTCTTTCGAATCCGTTGAAACAGCCAATTACAGCGTGAAAAATAAAAGAGATTCCAACTTCAACAAAGCTTATCGTACCTCAATATGCTTGCATTTTCGATCTTGCCTTGTTTCAATCAAGCTAATAAAGAAACTTACAAACCAATTTTGTGATGCTTCGCCTTATTCGTTCATCTGCTTTCCAGCGTCAAGCCTCTAGACGTGGCATTGTTACGTCGCGCACGTTGTTAATGGCACTTTCACCACAGCTCACGAGTCTCAATAACGCAGCTTCGTGTGCTCAATTGGACCTTGATGGATCGCTTGAAGAAATGGCGGCTAAACGGTTTTCCGAGGCTTCGGCATTTCCAGAATTTTCGCCAACAGAAGATATTTTACTTGGTCAGGCTGTACCTCACATTCAGCCTAGTAAGCCTGTAATGGACGCGCACACTTTGGCTGCGGAAGAACTCATGGCCGAGATGCAAAAACATTTTTGTGAACCCTCGGACTTTCCGGAATATACGCCTGTCGAAGAGGAGGCCATCTTGCTCAAAGAGATGTAAAATTTGGAATAAGTCAGCTATCTATTCATTATCATCATATCTTCCTTTGAGAACTTGTCGATCGACTAGCGAGCTAAGTTTAATATACTCAAAGCATATTCTGTTTTTTTATTACATTCTTGTTAATCGTGATCTTTCACTATGCTGTATTAATATCTAGTTTTTCGTTAGACCTATTATAAGGTCGGCTGACTGGTGTTCATGCTCCGAAACGGTCGTACGGTGGAGGAGGACGGAAATCGGAAGCCATATACGTGCGCCAAGCCATGGATGATCCAGATGTCAACTTTGAGGCACAGGTGCGTCGTGCATACTCTGCTAAGTGCTGAAACTGCGTTTCTTACCGATCGTTGTTGGCATAAACTATGGTACTAACAGATAAATGAACTAGTGTCATCACCAAATGTAACCGATCGATGTACAGTGCTAGAAGAACACCAACGCGAAATGGAGCTTCGAAAAATTCAAGCTGATAAGGAGCTTGAATATTTAGCGCCGAGTCCTGCTGCTTCCAAAAGGAAAAGCTTCCGACCTGTCAGTGCTAAGCCACGAATGTTGACTTTGACATCACTGGCTGAGGATCTTGAGGTCGAAACTACCGCTTTTCAAGAATCAGAGACTAATTGCCTGGGACAATTAGAATGTTCACATGTGTTAGAGATATCTAGCAGCTCTTATGATGAGCTGTTTAGTCCAGCAAATGTGCTAGAGAATAGCAGTCGGACGCTATGGATATCAAGCGGAATGTTTCCTCAATTTCTTCGAATCGTTTTACGCGAGCCTAAGCCTGTGGCCGCTGTAGAAATTACTTGTAAACAAATCAACAAGCTACAGCTACGCGCATCCTGTAATCGACATGTTGCCATAAATCGTATGACAATATTCGCAGAATTGGAAGTCGGTGCTGCAGATAGTAGAAAACTAGACACGCATCGATTTTCATTAACATGTCGCTCTTTCAAAAACGCAAATGACAGTGACGGTAATGATGAATCGACTTCAGAGCCATTGATTGAGGCCATTCAGATTAATATTGATAGTGGACACAGCGCTTTTGTTTGTGTGTATTTCGTTCGACTATGCATCGCAAACTCAGACGAGATAAGAAGATGATGTATCCTTAGACGGAGTTAGTATTTTCATTATTTAACGTTAGCATTAGAACGTAGTAGCTTAATTAAGGAACCAAAATATGGAGCTTATCGAAATCAAGGTGTCTCCATGTCTGCTTGAGTGCGCAAAAAGTCGACAAATTCCATTCCTGTGGCCAGAAAATTTCGCGCAAAAGCAGGCAGCAAGCGGCGCTCTGGCGTTAAGGTAGGGAGCAAAAACTCTGCCTCCACTTTATCCCGAACACTTAAAAATCCGTCTTCAGGGTTTCGATCGGGAATACTAAACTCGCGAATATGCATCAACGATAGTTGTAATTCTGTGTCAGGAGTAGAGTATTTTGCTCCACGGACGTGTCGAATTGTCCCAATGCATGCAGGCGACTCGCCAGCATTCACGAGATGACGGCTGATCCGCACTTTAGAGCAAGTTTCGTCGCAAAATTCAATAATGCCTCGGCCGTCGGGTGCAGTCTTGCAACACTCAGCCAGCTTTACGTATAAACGGTCAGTTTTAGGCATATCCTCGGTAGTTGAGACATAGAAGCGAATATCCGGCGTCGAGTCCATCATGTGACTCTCATCGTTCATTTCTTGTCGCATTTTCAAAGTCGCGCTAAACCACCGCGACGGACGAGTTGAAATTTTTACCAGTTGTAAATCGTCCGTTAGCCTGACATTGTACTCGAATGACTGGTGTACAATCGAGACCTGGTAAGAATTAGACTCTTCGACCAACACCATGCCCAGACGCTTTTCAGCGTACTCCTTTGTCCAAGGCGCATGCTGCGGCTCAATCATCGAGTAAAATGAATGCGTCACACCTTTGTCACCTCGAGCGACAGTTTCTGCTTTTTGCAACTTCATTCGAGGTCGTCGTGGGTGCCGTCTATGCCTCATGCCGCCACCGCCATCTTTGAAATCATGGTCATCCGCTGGACACCAACCTTCACTTTCGGCACACCAACCACCCTGGTCCTCGTCAGAGTACTCTCCCCATACTATCTCTTCCCTTGGACTCGTCGCTCCAGAAACTGTGTCATCTTGATTATCGAGTAAGTTATCTGAGTGAGCCTGTTGCTTTTGTTTTGCAATGAGGACGGACTCGTATAGCTCACGCGCAGTTCGACCACGCTCAAACTCATCTTCTAGTCTCTTTATGCTAGCGAGCATGATCGTCTCCTCGTCAAAAGAGCGTGGCAAGTTGATCAAATAATGGTGTCCAAATCGCACAAAGGCTTTGGCTTTGGCAATACCCGGATTGAGATGCTCATATCTCGACAATTTAATCATTTGCTGAATAAACTTAGCACAAAATGTGGCACCTGCATGCTCGTACCACTGACGCCCATTCATAAAACAAATTAAATGCGCTTGATGCAGACGAATGTTATTGTGCTCACCATGTCGCTCACCGAAGTAGTCTTGAAATCCTATTTTCTCTTGTTGAGACTCTGCACCCTCAAACAGCAACAAGCTTGAGCCCTCGTGATGAAAATTTCGGTTTGAACGGAATGACATTCGCGTACCGAGCTCCTGCTCAATCATGCGTATGTGGTCTTCGATGCACTGAATCGCATCACCAGGCCCAATGATCTCAGCAACATATAAGTCGGATCGAAGCAGATTTGAATGAAGCTTGAATGTCAAACGCGTTGAACTGTTCGCTTTTGTTTCAAACAAAATCTTACGGGAAAAAAAATCTTTTGCCTCGTGAATTCGAGTGCTTAGAGCGTGACTGAGTGTAATACGACTCGTCTGCTCTTCACGATGGGTAAGCAGATACTTTATGTCACCCTGAGCGATAACTAGCTGATGAAGCGCAATATGGCACTCAGACCGGAACAATATGACCGCCTCGGGTTCCAGCTGTGTGTCGTTTTCTGAATCGAGTGGATCTAAAAAACCATAATCGCAATGTGGGGTGGACAATTTTGCGTAGTGCGCGAAGAATGATAGAATAACATCAGCTGCCGATAGTGCAGATGCATCGTCATTTCCGGACACAAGACGCGTCAACAGATTTGTCCAAAATGCAATATTGGAATCGATATCGTTATCCTTGAGAATTTCTTTGATCGTGAAAGTGCCTGTGCTAATTGGCTGTACGAAGTTCTGCTCGGTACAAAAACGTATAAACAACCAAATAAACCCTGTGGGTGAGAACATATCCAATCCTCCCCCCGACCGTCGTCGGATCAATCCTACACACTTTCCCCACCGCACCAAAAAATACACACAAGGCCAGAAAAAACTGTACGTTTCCATGTATGTCCGGAAGAGGCGAGTTTTTACGGGCCCACTTGAATATTTACACATGTCTACCGACCATTGTTGTAACGAAAACGATAAGAGAGGCACTCGAATACCGTCTTTAAGGTTGACGTTGCTGTGTGACTTTTCTAAAGCCGCGGCGATAGCCTTCAATGAGCCACGTGGAGAAGAACAGCACACCATTACATCCAAATCGGACTGCTTCTCAAATGTGAGTAATCCAGAGGAACCAAACAGAATTAGATCAAACTCCTTCTTGTGAAGGTTATCAGGCATCTCCCCGCATAACGAACTTACTGCTACCAGTCGATCGAACAAGTCCGCAAGCAGCTCTTCCGTATTGGTCGCAATTTCGGCCAGCATACACAATTGAAGCTTTGGAATCGTTTGAGCATATGCCGACAGACGTACTGGTGTCCATAGCTTATAATGTGCTTTGTCAGCATTGCTGCTCTTGATTGTGATGAGTAAATCGATCACAATCCACGGAAAGCTTACAGAGCGCGTTGATGCGTCGGAGTCATCTTGAGAGACAAAATAGCAGGCAGCTGCAAGTTTCAAATTTTCACCGGGCGCGAAATTGATGGTGTCTTTATCAAATTGGGATCGGAAAGAGGCTTGAAGAGTATAGAAAGCGTCCTTGCATTGTTCGCCAAAGCGAAAATAATTGGCCTTGTATTCGCTTTGAGGCTCCACAATCATGCCCGTTGCGAGCTCCGCTTCAGTTTGGGCTCCTGACATCACCAACAAAGCTCTAAGGCGCAGCTTGTACTGGCGGTAAAGCATTTTGGCATGACCCAAGTAATCCGTGTACCCATTTGTTAACAAGTGATCGTCACGGATCGGCATTTGGCTCACACTTTTCGTCATTGTCGTGTCAAAAATTGCTTTGCAACGTCGGTATATCTTGCCCAGAACTTTTCTTGACGGATATGACGGTTTGTCCTTGTTCTGCATAAAATCTGGATAACTTTTGGGTGCTAGATTTCGCACAATTTCCAAGTCCAACTCTGCGCGAAGGCTGTCAACCTGCTTAGAGCAGACACGCGCTAAGATCATCGCCTTGTCGTCAAAACTTCCATCAATTGACGAATCACATAGAGCAAGGTGGGCATTTGACGCTACACCCAGAATATCATCCTGGATGGAGTGAACATAAAAATCAATCAAGCCAGCGTCATCAGTTGATTGGTGGTATTCGCCGCTGTCCCCTTCATCGTCTTCGTCATATACCATCGGCTCCTGAACTTGCGTTTTAGATGGAATCAATCGCTCGTCCCAGATGACAACAAACATGTCACCATCCAAGTCTCCGCCTGTACACTCGTCAGGATGAGGCCGTGGACCTTTACAAGGAAACACGACACAGTCCCTGAGCTGGCGTAATTGAGAGGGTACATCTGCTCTGCAATGAAGCACTCGAATATCGCCAGGATGGTGGCAAGGGCTACGATGAACAGCAACATCGACTCCATCAAGCAAAGTGTAATAGCTGGAACCAGTCTCCTGATCCTTCTCTGAATACTGCACGAAAACTTCTCCGTACTCCAAAGTGCCGGTAAAATCCGCCACTCCCATTAAAGTGCGCCCTTTTGCGATAGGGATTCTAGCGCGCATCACAGTGTTAGCAAGTCGATAGTGATATATTGCTCTAGCCAGCGACGACAAATATTCATCAGCTAAAATTTTCACCTCAAACGTACGGACAAGCACATCAATCCACCAAACGACTGTCGGAGGCAACACGGCCTTCAATCCAAAGTATGCTCCATCATTAAATGCGATTATGGAACGGAGCTCGCTTAAATATTCTTCCTGCATTTCCATAAATACATCTTCATTAATTCCGAGATCATTTAGAATCAGGACACTTTGACGTGTCAGGTATGCCTCCGATTTGCCCGAGCACGCAACTATTTCAATCATAGTGTGATTTGACGTAAACTTACACATGCTTCTTCGAAGCACAACAGAGTTCTCGCGGCTAATATCGTCTCCTAGATCAGATACCACAAGAACACCTTTCGCTCCTCCGAGACGAATTTGAAAGGCTGACGGAGTATATGTAAGTTGGAGTTCCCTCACAATAATTTCCGCTCCAACCGGAGCAATCTGGCCACATCCGTCTGTAAACACGTATTTTTCGTTTGAAATATCATCCAGAGGGTTATCAAGAACACTTTGGTTGATCAGATATGTTTCTTTTGTAGATGAAAATGCTTGACCCAATCGTTTCAGATACTTCGCAGGCGAAGTTAAGTGCGATAGATCGCCGATCCACGTCCTTACGTCGTGGTGGTCAAGCAGCGTAAAAATTGCACTGCTATTTCGCACTTGACTTAAAGAGCAGCCGAGAAAACGAAACCTAGCACCGCCCTTTACGTTAGGAATTTCAATTCCATTCGTTAGTACGCTCCGAATTCGTCTCAGGATCGTTGCGGATATGTAGTCCAAACGCTCCAAGTTGTCGTCGCGGAAGTACACATACATGAATTTATCGGGCCCCCAATGCCGAAATACACGATTTTGTGGTGCTGGCTCAGGCGGACAGTACACAATTCGTGAAGGTGTCACAATAACTTTGTAGACTATCAATGTTGAGCTTAGAAACGGGCTGTTGCATAGTTCCTTAAGTGTGGAGCTCTCCTCTTGCAAAAAATGCGAAAACTGACGTGTAATGTTGGTAGCTCCCGGATAAGCGCGAAACGACAAAAGCGCCTTTTCTTGAACTCCCTCGTCATGTTCAGCCAGCAAATCAAAAAATTCAGGCGGTAAAAATCCGTTCGTAAAATAGCTGCAGTCTGAAAGGAGGCATTGTAGCGCATAGGCTACTGGAAGCACAAAGCACAGTTTTGTTGAAGGCACAATTTGTCTGCATGCTTGAAGTATTTTTGTTTCGCGGACTTCTATTCCAAGCTTTTTAAAAAATATACGAAGGTTCCATAGTTGGGTCATAACACGGTCTGTTGCAGGCAATGTTAACCTATAGATATGGGCGTGTGATTGGCACAGCTTACACTCGCGATCATTATCAATGTAACTCGATGGCGGCAGACGGAATGGAAGGTACACAGATGCAGCTGAAGACGACGAATCAAACCAGACACACGGCTCGTTCAGTGCTCGCATATCAAATTCCACGCGGCGGTAGCCGATATTTGCAATCAAGGCATCTGCTGCCAGCTCTATGTCGGCTGATGACTTACCAGTACCGCCAAATGTTTCAAGCTCCATAAAAGCACCTTCTGGGGTCATCAAACCACGACTAAGTCCGATACCTACAATGTTCTCTGCCACTTCCCCACTTGCTGCGCATTCCATATCGTCATTTTCAAAGCGCAACCAAAATGGTTGCTTCTGAATAAGAAATGCGACGCCGGAACACAACGAGCTGTACGAAGAAAAGATGCTTTGATCAGGGGGTGCAGCAACAGTGCAAAGCCCCGTGGCCTCGTCTACTATTCTGACTGATGCGAAATCACTGACCCTTTCGAGAATAGTCTGTTGCAACTCCTTTTTAGCACCGAGAAAAACACCACCTATTACAATGTTGTACACTTTGTCAGCCGTTGCGTCAAAAGCTGCCCGAGCGGTTAAAGCCGATACCTCCTCCCTTTCGCTGAATGAATTTGCATTTCCCACTTCGTCAGTATAGAAATCCATTAACTTCTTAACAATGGTTTTTGACTTCAACTTCGACGCACTCATGTTTGCCATCAACACTAATCGCTTTTCGTTATCCACGAGTCGTTGATTGCGCTCTTTTCCTACCGCAGAGCAAAAAATGATAAAAGTACTGTCTCGGTGACGGGCTCGGCCTCTACTTTGAATGAGGCTCGTCACTCCAACAACTCCGTCAAATTGGATCACTAGTGAACACTCAGGCACATCAAGACCTTCCTCAAGCACATTCGTAGCCACCAGAAGACGAATACGTCCCTGACGAAAGCGATCCAAAGTTGGCCGCTGCTCTTCCTCCCAAGACATACCTTCATAAGAGTTGTGTCCAACAAATCGCGTGGGGTTAAGTTCGCGCAGCACATCCAATGCTTCCATTGCTTTCGCCAACAAAATCGCTGTCTTTCGACGCCGAACAAACACAATCGCACGCGAGTTGTGGTCGAAATTGGCTTTACGAATGCAGTCTGCAACAAGACGTACACGATTTGAAATATCCGCACCATTAAACGATTCGATCGGAAAATTGTCCAATACTGGGCTCATAATAGCACGATAAGCTTGTTCAATGAGCACAAACGAGCGCTTTCCCCTCTTAGACTCTGCGTCTTTCAAGTTATCAAAAATACGACGTAGTGCACCAGCAACTATCGCAGCACCATGAATGCTCAAACTGTAAAAGCTAGACGCCACCTTCCGCAAATGCTTGAGAATCAACTCCAAATCGGATAGTTGGCGTTTACTCTTTTCTATGCCACTATTTTCGACGTAAGCATTGTTTCGTCTTGCTACTTTCTCTGCTTGGAGACATAATATGCGCAATTTAGCCAAGAATTGTGACAATTCCATGTCGTTGGTATCATAATTCGCTTCGAATGGCATAGTTTGTCCATTCATTAGTCTAGAGAGCTGCACGTAAAAGCTTTCGATATAGCGTTTGATACCTTGCCGAAGCTTGCGTTCGTACTCGTCTTCTTGTACAGTAACCCATTGAGCCTCCTTTGGAATAAAACTTGCCTCCAGGTCCTCTGCGGCAATGGTAGGGGAATTTATTACAGCATTAAATGCTTGAGCGAGGTTTGTTAATGCAATTTGGCCAGATGTCTCACGCACACCTTCACCAAATGGAGAGGCCGTCAGTGCAAGGATATGCGGTCGCCTTTGTAAATTGACTACCGCTAGCTTTTTAAGCAATTCACAATAAGGATGATTTCCGGTAGCATGATGCGCCTCATCAAATACCATCACACAATAATCCGAAATAGCAGTGCGACCATTGAAAAGCAGATTTAAGAAATATTGGGGTGTCACCACCAGGACATCCATATCCCCATTAACTAAAATAGGCTCGCTGATTGCAGCCGCAGTAGATCCATGCTGACCAGATAATCCCTTGACTCGAAAATCGGATTCCCGTCGAATGTACGCAGCTTGCTGCGATACTAAAGGTCCCGTGGGCACAAAGAATACAGCTAACCTGTTCGGATTTAAAGATTTTAGTTCCTGCAGCACTTTAATTGCTACCAAAGTTTTGCCACATCCCGTGGGCAGATACACGATTGTGTTTTCGAGCAGCGCTGAAAGAGTTAACTCTATCTGGTAACGCCTCAACTTGGACATCTTTGCTTCTGGACGAAAATGGCTACGTATAGTGGCATCCGTCGGATGATTAATCGGCTGCACTTCCGTCTCCTGCAAATTCTGAGCTATGTCAACATTAATCATGTCTTGAAGCCTCAGGATCTTCAAAGGTACTTTGATACCCTGCAGTTGTCTCAAAATGACCGCCCACTTTCTTGCCATAGACCCCCCGGCCATTCCATAGGGGGCTTTTCTGTCCAATACACAGGTGCAAGCTTTAGAGTCAAGCAACAGAAGCGATTCGTCAGGTAGCTCATCTAGGAATCCTTCGGACGCAATTTTAGCATCGCATTGGACGCAGCACAGCTCAAACGGCATTCGCTGACGTTTAAACGCGTTGGTAGTGCGAATCTTGTTAAATTGTATTTCCGGTAGGACACCTGTACGACTTAAGACAACCCAATTATCTTGATGCTGCTTTTCGTGCAGTAATGTCTTGTCCAGCGTAAGATGCACGGCTGTCGCATTCTCCAGGATGAATGAAAGCTGTGAGTGACGCGCCACAGGAGCATCGCAGCTCTTACATGCGAGACCCCATGCTTCGTCAAGAGTGATGGTCATCCTGTGGTCTTGCGCGCAGAACCAACTTGTGAGGATTCCTTTTCCAAGTCACTTTGGTTTGTAATTCGCAACGGGTCAGTATTAAGAGGGATTTTCAGTGCGGTGATTGGTCAAGAAGCTTCAACTTAAGTGACGTCACTGAGGTACTGATGACCAAGTAACGGCCTCAACGATTGGCTTCATCTGATGCACAATGAGTGCGTTCAATTGACTAAAATTGTTTAGACGGAGTGTATAAGTCTAAAGGTAAAGCCTCAAGTGATCCGCGGTATCATATTTGCGGCTCAAAACGTGCATGCACCGTCAGCGAGTGTATTGTGCACATTCCCAATCTTGACTTATTCACAGTATTACAGTTGCATAGCCTCGTTAGCTTCACTCTCGCGGTTGCTGTCCCTCTGATTGGTTTAGATTCGTTCATTGTCATAGTGTAACTCAGTGTAACCTCTCGATGGAAACTTTCCTGTCGCAAACAAAGCCTAGGCCACATAAACGAAGCCTTCATGCAATCATTCCTGACCTTTCAAGGCCGCGACCAAGGAACCGATGTCTCAGCCGTGTCTGGTGTGCAGCAAGCCAAAGCCACCGATATCACTCGGAACTGGTATCTTCTTCGTCGACGTCAAAAGCTCTATATAGAAGTAAGCCTTTGTGGGGCTCCTGTTCGGGATTTAGGCTGTACATTTACCGACGTCCCCGCATTATTTTGAGATGCAAAATTCACTCGTCAAACCATAATTATTTGCTGTCGCTTAATTTACCTGTCTTGTTAAATACGCCCAACGCATTGTGTTAATGCTTCAATCAGTGATTAGATTACGCCGCTCGATAATGTTGAACAACTTTGCAGCTACACGTCAATTATATAAGCACACGATTTATATTTGTATGTACAATAATGAAGTTTAGATGTGGTGGCTCCACCTTTAAGCTCAACTCCCTCAATAAACAAACTTCACAGTGCTTAAGGATTACAATGAGTCCCCTCATCCTTTTTATGTTCACAGACCAGATCGTAGGAGGTTCAAAAACCTATAATAATAAATGTCACTTCACCCTTACATCATCATGGCCGAATAATTTGGTGTACAAACGGCAACATTAAACAGAAGAACTATATCATCAGCTTAACAGCCGCAACTGAGCATTCCTTTACTAGAATGTTCCCACGAAGGACCCAGCAACTGTATTAGTATTACTGGGCAATATATACGCTGACGCGTCGACTTTGCGACTTCGATTTGGAAAGTGGTTCTGGTATGGCGGAACATCTGGACGCTTTTGACGAAGTCACTAGACCATGGGAGTATTGATTGACGAGTCGCGCCAAGCGGTAGTACTTCTCAGCAGTTTAAGACGATTGTATTTCATCGATCGGAGAAAGAGCAATACATTGATTGAAATTGAGGAGAAGCTGCACAGAATGGAAGATATGGAGAAAGCATTTCGTGTAACTGGCATACTGGAAATTCAAAGGTGGACAGTAATGGGCTACACTTCGCCATTACACGAAGGTACATTTACACACCTTTCACCGAGCCACGCGACGAAGCAGCTTCAGGCCTGGCCGCGGTAGCAATGCCATCCAGGAGTCCGAATTGATTGGCTTAGGGTAGACTTTACAAAGCGGTTTAAGAGAGGAGAAAAAATGCATTGTGCGAATTAACAAAAGAAGATCACAGTATGCTGTTCCCGAGTTGTAATGGACTACAGTTATATTACATAACACGCTAGACACTAGGATGACAACCGCATGGTGGTGGTTGTTGTTGCAGT